TCAACAAGCATTATATAATATTCAAGATTACTGATATGGAGTTTGAAATAAAAATCGTAACATTTGTACGAACTTAACTAATAGAAAATTGGCCATATAATTGATTATTCTTCATATATTTTATGATTGTTTAATTTTCTACTACTGAATTGGTTGTATCGCACAGGGGAGGCCTGTAGGGTGGGATCTGGGTAATCATCTCAAGCGCCAGAGCCTGGAGGCATCGCGTCGCTCAGTGGAGAAAAAGATAGGACTGTTCAAAAATCGAAATTTTTTGTAATTTTTCAGTATAAGGTAATGCGAAGGAAAACGTCAACCTTAAACCATTATTACTTAATATTGAGTTGGATTAAAAGTTCTGCGATATTTTATTAGTTCAAAATTGTATGTTGTACATTTAAAAAATTAACAATTATACAATTCGATAGAGCAAAGTTTCAGGAATCTAATTTTTTGATTGCGATACAATAATTTTTATTGAGTTATGAGAAATTAAATTCAAAATGTTCCTTTACTTAATTCGCGAAAAACTCAGGAACAAAAAATTGTAAAAACATTTTTTAAAAACAAATTTTTAGAAAAACTTTATGCTTTCACGATAGATAGTCGAACATTTTTTCTAATTCCTTTTTAGTACATGACAGATTCATAAAGTGAGAAAAAAAATTTATCTTTTTTTTCAGTTTGTAGTTTTTTATATGTAAAAATTATAAAATTCACATGAACTGAAAAATTATAAAAACTTTTTTTGAGAGATTTAGAAAAAGATTCAAATTTATATAAGTATTTTATAGTAGTATAGTCGATTGAATATAGGGGACAAGAATTAAATTGAAGACGTAATAGATTATCCTTAAACGTTGATCGGCACAGATACATTCCAAATAGAAGGATCTAAGAATGTTAACATAAGAGCGCGATATACGGAAGATGTTAAAAGAGATTTTGATGAAAAACGTTCTATGATAGGAGCGCGCAATGCCTAAAAATAGGGAGGAAAAAAGCAAACGCAAAACACCACTCAGGGGTATGTGACTGGATATATAGATACGTGTTGAATACGCACAGAAGCTTTCGAGATATGTACGGATAAGATGCTACTTTTGCAGGGTATGACACATCAATTATCATCAATCAATTATCATCAATCATTTTATATAATTTCATATAATTTTATATAATTTCGAAATAAAATATTACAGAGACAAAATTCAATTGCCAGCTTCCAATTTACAGCCCTTTTTTTTCTAAATCAATAAAATGTAATCTTCTTAAGGACTCTCTTTCTTTAAAAAAAAAAACGATATAAAGTGTTTCCAAGAACAGTTAGTTTTAAATTTTGACCGACAAACGACACTCTGTAATCAGTTAAGGCTCCTGAATACTCAGCCAAGAACTCCGTGTTGATGGGTAGCGACACCGAATTAGTCGGTGGCTAGCAAAACTGGTAGTACGCTACTGGTTATGCACACAAATGCAAGCTCATGTCCGTGTGCTCATTTTCGGGTAGAAGGGCAGCGCACAGACATGGGTTTCATGCTTGTGTGTGTGTATAGCGCCTCGCCATAGTAAAAGTCTGAACTAATTAAGGCATAAAAAAGTGATGTTTTGACGACAAATTTTTTCTTGCGTGCCATTTCGTCAATATTTGCTTATTTGTGAAAATGTGACTTCCCTCGTACTCGTGAAAGTCCTAAAAATTGGCGGAAACTGCAGTTATCGTGAAATTTTATACGTAAAAGCGTATATTTCACTCGTTTCATCAGCTGTCAAAATGTGTGATTCTGCCCGAGTATAGGAGCCTATACTCGGACAGATAGTGAGCACTTTACGTGCCTTTTACGACCATTTACTGACTACCAGAGGAGGAAAGGATAGTTTCCGCCAATTTTCACAAGTGTTTTTGAGCGATCTCGCCTTTTAAATTTATCCAAATTGTCTTTATTAAAAAATGGAACGCAAGAAAAATTAATGTGTTTTTCTCGCCTATGACGTCACATGGCCGTCGCCGGTATTCAGGAGTCTTAACTCTTAGACGTGTGATGAAGACGATCAAATACATAGACGTCCGATGTGATTTTATTAACTATTATATATCTCGCGAACGGCGCAACTATAAACGAAAGCAAAATCACTACAAATGATTCCGAACTGAGTCCCGTAAGCAGATTTGAGATATCTTGAGAATTAAAAATATTAATTTTTTTACAATTGTTTTATTAATTATATCTCGCAAACTAAAAATGTTTTCAAAACATTCAAAACTTTATGATACTCTTACCTTTCAATCCTGTTGACTCTCGGTGGCCAGGTTCCTCGGTGCCATTGGTAGCTGCTCGTTGTCTTCGCCCTTTGTCTCGCCCGTTGGCTCGATAATCGTGGCTCGTCGGACATCAAGACGGACGCTGATCGATCCTGCGTCTGTTTTTGTGATCCGCTCCCAGCTACTGCCCCAACTGATTTCTGCACTCCGCAACTCGGAGCACTTATTATATAGGCTCTGAGGTCCTCCAGGATCCAGATGGAGGGACACAGCCTGGCTCCCGATTGGTCAACAGCCGCCTGCGTAATTCCATGAATCCCGTGGGTTCACCACCCCATAATGTATCTCTGTAGGTATGTACTTGTGTACAATCCGACCAATGATATTTTACTGTTTTAACAATTTCGATTGGAAATTCAGCGATTGCTCGGATATTTGAGATACGCAAATGACGCATACATAAAGTTTTGAAATGGCCGACGCGTAACCCCTGTCGGATCAGTTTTCAACAATTAAATCTCGTGTTTGTTCTGTATAGTGAATTCTCTCATTTTCAACAAAGCCCTGTATTGCTATTTGCTTCATTGATCGCTCCAGCTCGTTATTTGATGTTGCATCATTTATTTAGTATGACGCTTGTGTAAGTTGGCCGTTCCCGCTTAGAGGTTCCGTAATCGTTAAATTTTCTTTATAAAAACAGGATTGGCATTAAAATGATGCGAACAGAGGATGCATACACTGACCCTCATCAGCCAGGATCTATTCGATTTATTATTAATGAAATAGTGACGGACAAAAAATGTCACGTCACAATATGTACCCTAGTATGGCATATACATGTGTACATACGAAAATATATTTTATTCAAAATGATCGAGGCGCGTCTATTAATCCAATTAATCAATTCACGCGTCTATACTTTTCTAATCCCAATTTAATTTATTCTTAATTCTATTTTAATATTTAGAAAAAAATTAAGAGTAAATTAAATCAAGTAATATCAAATCTTATAGGACCGTGAGAATTTAAATCAATGAAAACCGATGAGAACATGCTGTAATAGTCAAGCTGGATCTTGAATGCTTCTATATAATTACGTGTGAATTTATATATTACGTATATAGATTTTTAATTGCGCGCCGAATCTTTAGTCTCGGTAGTCTGAAGTCTTAGAACGCTCGCACGGAATGCAAGAAATCCGAATTCGACTTCCGGCCGAAGTAATATTATTCGCAATAAAAAATTAATTATTTACAAATTTTAATATGTCATTTATTATTAGGAATGTCAACGTTATTAAAATCGATCTAAGATGCGCAAAGAGTATCAAACATTGTTAAATTGTTAGTCAATTTAACTAGTGATATTAATGTGGTAATTTAGTAAAGTTGCGTATTTCTGAAAAATTTGTAAATTATGTAGAAGCAAAATTCAGCTTGACAGCATATTCTTATCGGTTTTTATTTGTTAGCAAGCAGATGCTCCTTGTTCCCATGGTATCCACGGTATAATGCTCACACATGCTCCGATCTGTTCTCACACTTGAATATATTGATTTTTTTGTTCGTACGGTTAACCGGTTGCCGTAACAGTATACAAATATGTTTAATATAATTATCATAATAATAAGTAACTAATAAAAGAAGTTAATAAGAAAATTTTCAATGACTTTTTTGTTAATTAATTAAGAAACAGAGGGATATAACATTAAGGTGCGTCTAGACTATCGAACCGAAACGCGAGCCGAACCTCGAGCCGA